AATGACTAACTAATGAGCGAGCGAGTAAACTTACGAGCGAGGAAAGGAAGCTCAAAGAACTTTTCCGACGTTCCGTTTTTTTAACGACATACAGTCCTTACCTCAAAATAGTTGGTCCCTTCAGCTCGGAGCAACAAATTCAAACGGTGACGTTCTCCATACTGAGAAGCAACATTTTTACAAGTACATCTAACACGTCGCATATATTTAGCTTTGTAAATTTTATCTTTATATATAAATATAAATTATCTTCAAATAAACTCTGAATTATATTCAAATATACTTTCGCGCGGGAATATCAAATTATTCCTATAATATCGAAAGAAATCGTCACCATGTACAATGTTTTCCCCGTATACACTATGCATAACTAAGCAGAATATATAATTATAATTAAATAACGTTAATTTGATATAATTTATGATAAGCGCAAGCGAAAAATATCAACACGCGACCCGTGGTTTCAATTGACACATTAATTAGAGACAAGCAGCGCACGTGTCTCGTTTGCATATCGCTTTTATCGTCTCCGCATGTATTACCGAGAGACCAGAACAACGAGAGGAAGGTTACGAAGGGGTCGCTGGACCAGCACAGAAACTTATAGCAAACCTGGCTGGTAGAAACTGGCAGGGCTGAATGCTAAGCACGGCCAGTCGGTTACATTTGCTTGCCGCCCGGCTTCTTAATGAAAACCAACGGCATGGAAACGTCAGGTTTGCTTTGCCTTAAAATTGGAGGCACGACTCGCTTAGCACGGGTATCCCCAACGCAAACGGAATGAGGTTCAAATGCACGGCTAATTCGCTATGCTGTTTTACATCTTATATCTTGCCAACGATCAACTCTCGTTCTATCAACTCTCGCATATCCTAAGTGCATCAACGTAAATGAAAATGCATTTACGAAAAATACATTTTTAACTTCACGAAACAATCAGAACTAATTAACACTAGAACCGCTGATGGTGCCATTTTGATTCTGATAATCATTTAATTTTTTCTTTTTTCTTTTATTAGAGATATACAATACAAAATATTGAAAATATGTGAATATATTATAATACGAGTATAAATCATTCTAACAATATAAATAATACAAAAATAACATTTTGCTAATCGAAAATCAGATAGGAAATTACTAAATTAATACATTCAACTGTCGTAGCTGAATATCATTGATATGACAGTTCTAGTTTTAAGGTTTAATTAACATCAAATTCTAAAAAGATACGATATTCTATTTCCGCAATTGCACTAAGAATAAAAACAGATTATATAAACAGATTTCCCTACATTTCTTCGGTATTTACTGTCACCTTTAATACGGACAGAAACAAAATTTAGTCAACTCTGATAAATGTTGGCACGAATAGGCAAGTAGCAGCTACAAGCAATGAAGCGAGCTATAATAGCTTTCACAATTGTCTACTTCATCGTGACTACTTATAAAGCGATAAAGCATCGTCTCGCGAGAAAAAGAACCGTACGCTCGTTCACCTTTTAACGATGGGAAGGAGCGCGGATGCAATAACTCGACAGAAAAGTAACCGGAAGGGCTGCGTTGCTGCTCGTTATGTAGCGTCTACGCTTTTACACTTCCCGATACACTCAGCCTTAACTTTTTACTCTCATCATCGGCCTTTACGGAAAATTAACGACGGCACGGCGCAGAGCAAGGCGCTCGATTAGAGGCTGAATATTTATGTTCGTCCACTTTATGCCCTTCCTCCCATTTTCTGTAAGAGAAAGTGTTTATCCGCGCCTGTCTCGGCAAAATGCGCGATGTCTAATTATTCCTCATTATTCCCCCATTCATGTCAAACTTTATAGTTAACTTTCACTTTTCAAACTTTTCCGAATAACCGTATCTACGGTGATAAAATAAATTGAATAAAATTGATATATAGAAAGAAACCAAAAGAAATACGTTTTCATATTGACATCCAATTGGTTGCCAATATGCAGTCAATAGAATGCAAAAGTAAATGTAGAGAAATAAATGCGAAAATATTAAATCAATCTTACAAATTCGTATATTTTATGACTTACAAGTATCAGATATAATTACACGAGTAAAAGATTGACAAGTTTATGTTTTATTCATGTCTTTTTATCATTAAGATAAGTTTTTATTTTTATTTATTTATTATTTTTTATTTATTTATTATTATACGAATTAGACCGTATCTTGTGGGCTTCCAATTTTCCTCAAATATTTATCATCGTTCATGAAACGCGTATATTACAGGTAAATGTAAGTGAATATTCGCGATGTATGAAATTCGGGCTCGCAGGTTAGGCCTAAATGACTGTGCGAATCAGTCATCTCTATGGGAACATATACGTATCTCTTGCACGTTACAGGCCTCCCAGCGACCTCGGAATGGTTCACCATGACGTAAAATTCGACGCTAGCGCAGGTGCGTGTCTCACGCGTTATCGACCAGCGATAAACGCCAGACGATACACATTGACGTGATACCAGGGAGGGCGGTAAATCGACCCTCATCGTTGGATGGCATGATCAAAATGAATGTCGATAGTGACTCACGCTACATCTTCCAGACTGCCCATATCTACGACAAATCGCAATGCGATTCGAAAACGATTAACGCTATCTCGAGTCTGCATCTGTCTACGAAGACCACGACCACAGTTACCCCTTTCTGCTCCCCCATAAGACACACCAATGAAACAATTCATACGGAATTATTTAATTCTTAACATTAAAAGAGAGAGTATATAAATAAAAGTATATATAAATTACTTCCAAAATAAAGAAAGTAACAAAAAAACTGAATATTTCATATATTCAATATATAAAGAACATAATTATTGAGAAGTCAAAAAAGTCCTATCTTTTATGCAAGAAATATAATATTGATCTAAAAAATTAAAACAATCAATAATAACCGCTCGATACTTCCAGTGTTAAAAATATCAAAATTTCTGCATAATAAATGCCAAAATTCCGCAAATTTATGTTGCCTTTTAAACTCTCTTTTTTGCTCTGTAATTTTTAATAATTTATACATTAATCTTCAATATTCTCCCGTGATAAAAGTTGCGCAAAAATATTAAATAATCATAAAATTACCATGTCAAATAATTATAAATTAGCGAAAATACACATGCTACCGTGTTAATATGAGAATTTCGCTTGACACGGTGCGAGTCGTAATTTCTCGTGCCAATATACCTACGTGTCCTTTGTATCCTGTGGGTGCCCACACTCTCATTCGATCGGGCGTTTCGCGGCGCGATTCAAAGGCGATTAATATTATCCGGAGCTGCCGATACGACTGGCGCTCCATCACGGACGAGGAGGGAGGAAAAGGAAACCGAGGTGGTGGCGGTGAAGGCATCCGCAACTGGCAACGAAACCAATAACTATTAATCGAAGCGCCACCGCACATTCAGCAAAGTCGACGCGATTTAAACGCGCAACAACCCTCGATTATATTCCCCCGTACTTCTAGCGTGTTGGGGGCACGCACGTATTTCAAACGGCGAACACCATTCTAAACGCAAAGTCGTCTCTCTTTACGACCCTTTCATCTTGCGTCGCTCTTCCCATTAAGCTCCTCGTAATAGCGTGCTGATTTCGCGATGTACGTATCTCTAAGGAAATATATCTTCAGCTCCCTTCAATTCCAGATATTCCACATATCCTACTCGGAATGCGCGTTAGTATCTCAAAGATTAATGTTTATTCGTTTGTATATTTACATAGAACCTAGATACAGTAACTTCTAAGTATATTTTATATATATATATATATATACACGCAAACACAGAAATTGTTTATATGTAAAATTTTTATTTTGTTTATAGTTTACATATTAATCGTTAATATATTAATAATTATTAATAATTAAAGTAGATATATTTGCTACATTTTTAGCAAAATATGGCTACTTTTTTTTATCAGAAAATAAAATAAATAGATATTCAATGAAAAAAATCTGATTAATTAAAATTCTGATAAATTCAACTACAAAGGTACAAATCGGACATTTACATTTAAATCTATCAAACATTCTAGTTGAGATAATTAGAAATTCAATTACGATAACCAGAATTCTGATTAATCAGAATGTGTTTCGTTCGTACCTTTCGTTGACACAACTACAAAATCTTTCTCAGTGTTCTACCTCACCATGTAACATGAACGATTTGAAGACTCCAATGGTGGGTTGAAAGAGAGGACCTAAGAAGACGACGTTTAAATAAAATACTCGAACTTGACATTACGGCTTCCAGTTACAAAGTATCTGCTGATACAAAAGCCACGGAGGAACTAGACTAACTGGTTGACGGGGTTATCAAGAGAACGTAGATAACGTCGTCCCATCTGCCGTTCTTAAACTGTCACACGTAACTCGTGTAGCAACTTCAACCGCGTTTCTCTCCACTTCCTAATCGGTAGACTGGCACGTACTGAAGTGCGCGACCGGCTCATAGATATACGACGAACGAATATCCGGAAGAGGCGGTCTGAAATTCTAGACTATGTCCGAGCGACCGCAGAAGACAGAGAGAGAGAGAGAGAGAGAGAGAGAGAGAGAGAGAGAGAGAGAGAGAGAGCACAAAACGGCTTTCTACCTTAGTAAATGTGCACACATGCACATATGATATATGCGAGGGTGCGACCCAATAAGACTGGACTTTAGAGTCCCCTCGATTTTAGATTTTCAGAAAAGTCGATATTCAGAAAAGTCTATTAGAATCTCTTCTTTAATGACTATCATATTAACTCTCAGTAAACACAATTGGGTTATTCGTATTTTACACATTTTTTCTTTGAAATACCAAGAGCACCTAGCTAAATGATAATTTCTATTCTTTCCTCTTTTTTCAATGCACTTAAAAAATTATTAAATGATTTTTACATATACTTTAATAACATCTTTATAAAATACTTTCTAAAGTTGTTAAAGTACATATAAAACACTAATTAACGATTTATCGCAATGGTAATATATTGAGTTCACTTACCGATGCTGCCATGAAGAGAGAAGGGGCGGCTTGGAGGGCAGCAGTTGTGGCTTCAGTACACGAGCCATAGCCAACTGGTGCTGCCTTCTGACATTCTATAACGACATAAAGCAACAATTTTTCATTAGTAATGCATAATAATATAAAACCAAATTTGTCACGCACATGTTTGTGTTAAAATGTGTTAAAAAATGCTTATTTTATTCCAAGCTAAAAAATGTCGAGAAAATTTTATGGTAAAAAATATTCGCAAGAAAAATTTTCGTTAAAAAAGTGTGGTGAAACGCGAGGCGCTGTATCACGCTGTATCTACATACGTAGCAAATTGAGGAATTCAATTTTATGCGTACGATATCCGACGCCAAGAGTGGTATTTTTGTCTCAGGGACTGTAACACGATTCGCAAGACCGAACAATATAACGCAATAAATGGCGAGAGAGGCTCCAATTTTTATAAGTGACTTTTACACAACTGCGCCTTGTTCATAAAAGATAACGAATAAAACAACGGATGTAAAAAGAACGTATTTTCGAGGTCTCATCGCTGAGTTATTTACCGACAATTTCGCAATATTGAAAATTGGGATTTTCTGGAATTTCCTCATTTCGGTCACTCGCGAATTACACAACCATGTCGTTCGTGCAAATCGATTTCAGGAATTCAGAGACGAATCCGATGAGAGAAAGAGGGGAGGGAGAGAGCGAATAATCGTATACTAACTGAAAGCAAATTCACTCTCTCACACTCGTAATTGTGCGTTCCAATTTGAAATCACGTAAAAACCTGTCGCTGTGGCTCATTCGGACCCGAATAAAGAATGAAAATATTCAGAAAAAGGAACTCCTTCATTTAACGCACGTTTCATAAGAACCACGCCATACATGCGTTCCTGTAATTAAAAGAATTACGTCTTATATATGTGTTCAAACGTACAGATATCGCTCAAAATCTCACCGCGACGGTAAAACAAAATCGCCGAAATTTTTTGGTCATTCCTTCGCCGTCCGCGCTTTGCCGGACTTTATTGGAATTTTATCGGAGATTCCCGTACAGTATATCGATGCGATTTAACGAATATATTGGATAAAGCACAGCGAATATCTCACACGAAATTGTGTGTGATACGTCAAATCTATTTAATGTTTCTGCGAAATACCTCTATATATAAAAAAAAAATTGTTATAACGCACAGCGTGTTATAATAAAAAAAATAGATATTATAAACAAAATAAATCCACATGTGCTCTCTGCAGATTATAAATATCAGTTATATAATTTACGTGTCACACATTCGCGTTCTTATACAACATAATGTCAAAAATATCTTAATCAAATGTGTGAACGAGAGAATATTGAATATTTCAAATATATTTCCATAAGCGCATAATTCGAAAAACAATGTTAAGTATTCAAAAGCGGTTGTCCAAATATTACGCGAATTATAGCTGATAAAATATCCTAATAAATTTAAATAATAAATTCATAAACATTGTAATAAATTGGCACGTCATATCGACGAAATAATCGTTAATAATATGCATATAATTGAAACACTGATCTCATCCAAATTGAATTCGCGTTTTATCGCATCATCAGTAACTGCTTTTCGTTGTCGCTGCGTACAATGAAAAAGCAGTTATTAATGGCACGGTATTTTCGTTGCAGAAAGCACCGGGAATCGCGCTACAAAAAGAAAATCTCGAAACCAATCAATCAATCAATCCAATCAAAGACAACATTTGCGCTCCGCTCCGCTCTCTTCGCTTTCGCGCCGCCGAACTTGAGGCTTCGCCATGCCCGGTACAGCCCGACAAATTAACCGAAGTTTCACACGCCCTCGCTAAAACTTGATACCCCTGGCATGGCCAATCAAACTTCGAGTTTCGGTAATCCCCGGGCCAAATACTCCCGTTTACACGTTACAGGTTATGGTATAAGACGGTCCGTTTCCTCGAGTTTCGCTGCCGCTAATACCCGGAGTTTCGACCGCAAGTTGTCATCCGGTGGTGGAAGTCGAGTTACAATCGTCAGATCGCTTTTCTTATCGGAAAAAAAGGGATGAATTGTACAAACGCATCTACATATAACCATCGAATAAGATGTTAATATTTTTCGTACAAATTACATTTGCTGATTTATCCGAGTATACGAGTTCTTGTAGAACCTATCATTCGTTAGTCGAGTTAATTAGTGAGAAACGTATAAATAAAAGAAGGATAAGGGAAAGGAGGAAGGAGGAGAGTAAAAAGAGAAGAGCAGAGAATGCAGCAATCTCTATAAAATTACACGTGGAAGGAAATCGAAGGACCGAGTTCTAGCAAATGAAATTACTTAAAGCAAACGCGTTACTTTTTCAGTGCGACTATCCGATCGCAATGACCACCCCGGTTGGTTACGTTCGATTCGAAAGGGATGCACCGGTGTGTTTCATTCCCGTTCTTGCCCATAGGTAGCTTCCATTGGAGTCTCCCAGTCTCCCTCCTTCCGTCGCGCGGTTCCGTCCGAACACGGTCACATGCATATGCAAATTTATTCTGCCGGTGCATTAGTGAGCACGGTGGTTTCACGATGTTGTGTTTACGTGCGTGTGCGTATAAATGCGAATACGTGCGTGCATTTGTACGGCGGCACATTGCGTAGCGCGTGTATGCGTCTATGTTGCGGAGAGCCATCGTCCAGGCCGATCGCGACGGAGAGGGTCATAAATTAAATGATGTAAATGCTCTGTCCACCCTCTGTCGCTGCGAGCGGAGACGGCACACAGGGCTACCCTTTCGCGTCCACCACCCTCCCGCCGACTGGTTGCTGCTGCTGCCGCCAACCCTCGTACCACCAGACGATCGTCGCTCTATCCCCTTTGCCTTAATGCTGCATCCCCTGCCGTCTGATTATAATTATCGAGATCTACACTCGGATCCAGTCTCATCCGCGCGAGATGAAAGCGAGCGGATGGCAGCGAGAAAATGCCATTGCGTACTATCTGTTATATTACTTTCGAAATATGTGATACATGCGATGTATAGCTTATCGCAGTTCACATAATCCGACATCAAAAGTATCATTACGAGCTGATAATTTTATTTTACTCGTATCTATGCAGGTGTCTAGCCCAATACTCGTAATCAATATCTCGTATGATGAACTTTAAATTAATTACACTGGTATAATATCAAACGAGCAGTGGTAACTTGATCTTTTGAGTTAAACAAATTATATTTTCTTATTTTTAACTTCCATATGTGTAAAAATGTAAACTACTCCACGTCTGTGTAATCAATTTCTAAGTAAATAATGTCCATTAACGTATACACTTACCAGGAGAGGCTACGCTCTGCTCTCTATCGATTTTGATCAAACTTACAGCGATGTCAATCTTGACTTGACTTTGACGATGTCATCCAAAGTGAAACCAATAAAACCAGTAAATACATCTTATTAGGCCCTGTCACTTTTGTCCAAGACATTTTTCTCAAAAATACATACTTTCCAAGATATAACTGATTCCAGATTTTTGGTATATTTTTAAATGTTCATTACTCGGCTGTTAAGGCCCATTTGCAGGAACGGTTTTACAGGTCTTCACTTGATAGACTCCTACAATATTGCTGCAATTTTGATCAAAATAAAAGTGAAGAGCGTAGCGCCTCTCCTTGTTAGTGAATAATAAACTAAATTTGAATCAAATTTAATATATTTTCTTGAATTGTTCATTATTTTAGTTGCAATGAATTAACAATATTGACTAAAAGCAGTGGCTTTTATACTTACAGAAATAACTAAAAATAACTCAAACATAATTTGACATTGTGCAGCATAAAGAATAAAATATTATTATATGTATTATTTACTTTGATGTTTCAATGCGATAAAATCCTGCTACATTTACTTGTTCATTATTTTTCCTATCACAAAAAAATTTATTTTTTTTTCCTCACATCTTCAACATGTTGGGAAACTCACACGTTTCAGAAACGAATCGACACTTATACGGAGTTATACGAAACCTACGTTATATCTATTTATTCCTCTCAATATCCGGTTCACCGATATTTATGTCCTTTCTTTCCATCTTCGATCGTAATACGGAAGAATAAGTGCCCGACAGATTCCCGCCGAGCGATCGATAAGCAGAAGCTCTGACCTGATTTTCCCAACGTTAACTCGGCGAGAAGAGAACATCGAGTCTCGAAGCCTTCGATCGAGGAGATGGGAAGGATCGGTAGGATCGCTAAGTCCCGCTCTCAATCGGATTCGAATTTGATAGTATTTGAACAGCCCCCAGCATCGCTCTCGTAAATTCGGCACGCCGTTTGTGTATCCCTTCCCCATACGCCACTCCTGGCTCCCTTCTTCCGTGCGATCCGATATTTGGTTCGACGCAGATAACCGTTATCTCGATTGTTGTCGCTCGTTTTCCTAAAGAACGAATCGTATTTGCAATGATTCAGTAACTTGTTCTAACAAACGCATTCAAACAGATCCGGGTATAAACAAATGTGCTGATCGTCGATCGCAAACAATACTCCATTGGAATTTCAGAGACATTTGGAAATGCCAGTAGTCTACGTATTATTTACAAGTATTTGGTTGGAAAATGAAATAAAAGTATTAAAAATAATCGTGTCCATCAAATTCGAACTGTCATTCGCGTGATCGTATGCATAATATAATCAAACAGAATCTTATTAAAAATAGTAAATAGTAACTTCATCAAGTAAATTATAATGAAAACAATCAAAGAAGAAATCATGAAAATCAGAGGGGGACATTTACCTACATTTCCTTGTAAGTACAAATACATATTTTTGCGATTAGAGAGATCAATAATAAAATAATTTTAATGATATAAAAAATTAGTTTTTAAAGAAAAAAAGCAATTTCTTTATGTTCATTCAAAAACGCAAGGATAATTCGGTTATCGCGATGATTTGCAAGGATTGATTACGCAGCGAACATCGTCCGCCCGAATCGATATTTTCGCAGGTGCATAAAATACATCAAAGTCATTATCCCATTTCGCTCTTATGAAGGTTATTTATCCAATCCGTGCTGCGCTCGTAGCCCTATATCGAGTTCATAGGATATACGTTCGCGATGTTCGCGGCCGAGCGCGCTTCCACCCCGAACGTAAAGCCGATGAAAATGCATTGGCCGTAAATAACGTCGGTCGGGTTTCGAAGGCGCGCACCCGCGCTTACACAAGGAGATAAAATCAACTTGACCTCGTTCCATCTCCCAGACGTGTTTTCAGCTTCTTGCGCTTCGTGCTGTCCTCGCTCAGTTCCCACCGGCGATGGGATGGAAATCCTCCCCTGTCCCGATCGGGAGAGGCGATAATCATTAACAAAAATTGAATGCGAGTTGAATCAATGAAGATATATTAATGCAAACACGTGATCGATGATAATACCGCGAAAGATACTTTGCAATGACTTCATTTCGAAGTACAATACAAGCTTAATTTAGACTATCCGCGCAAGAACATCTGTAACGTGTTGTGTTACGTTAAGCATTAATCATAAACTGAAGACTCTGTATGTAATAGTTAAAACTTATATCAACGCACAAACAAAATCATAATATAATGTTAAACATTATGTTATAATTTTCATTGGGCGTTGATGTAACTTTAAGTACATAAGTACATTACGGATGTTCTTGTGCAAAGAGCCTTACGGGTGAATTTAAAAAGAAAAATATCAGAATAGCGCAACTTTCATCTGTTCAGCAGCGCGTTCAAGTTTAGCGTTGAAGACTGCGTTCCATTTGACGCTCACAATGCTCTTAGAATAATTTCATCCTCGTCGTTTATCAAATGTTAAACAAATAATGTTGGCAAATAGAACGCAGCCATAGTTTTCATGGAGTATCTGTTGTCAGGACGTTTGAGATTCATTCAATTCATACTTAATCTAATTTCATTCGATTGCATCAACTGCCTGTTACGATTACAACCGCATCGATTGATTTCAGCAGCAATCGAGCGAAAAATTCTGATACAGCGCAGTGTTTATGCAATCCTGGATTACACGCTTAATATGCAAAATGTATGTATGCATATACAACGTATCGTAATTATGATGATCAACATGCCGTGCTTTCCATATGAGTGCAATTATATACCTATACATTTTGCATATACACAGAAATGGTTAACATTGATCGAATGAAAATGATATAAAAATCTTGAAAATTGTTTTATCTTCAAAATGTTATCATTCATCAAAATATTAATCCACATATAAATATTAGTAAAAAAATATCAATATAATATATAAACTATCTGATAATAAGACACATGTATTGTATGTATAATTTTTTTAAATTTAACCTACTTTAATATAAAATTAAATCTAAAATTATATATTGCATTAATATACACACACACACACACACACACACACACGCACACGCACACGCACACGCACACGCACACGCACACGCACCATAAGTCAAGTCCCACAGCAATATCATATTATAATATAAAAGTCCTATAAATCGCAAACCCGATGATCTAACTTCCCGAGGTAGATAGTTACGTAAGTTTTGAGACCGGTTTCCTGTGGCTTCTATAATATTCAACTTCCGCACCCGTCGTTTCCGCTTCCGAAAATCTTGATGGAGATTTTAATTGAATAAGAGGAAGCAAGAGGCGAATGCAGAAACAAAACGGGTGCTTTTATTGCGATGGCTGTTGAATATTCAAAACGATAAAGGAATGTTCGTTGTCTCGTAACGAACTGCAGCACATGTAGTATACTTAAAAAAGAAAAAAAAGAGATAAACATCGACATTATTAAATAAATGTATTTGCATTCTGACTGCGTTACTCTCGATTGTATTCTCATTTAACTTTGACCTGTCACATCTTCTGAAGAGAAACCACGTATGACGAAGACTTGAACTTGATTGTTATTGTGTGTTTCCTCTTGTATTTATACGTATCAGTGCAAGATCGGGATATGTAGATACATATACGAGACGGAAGTTTAATTTAACCACAGGAGACCCACTAAGGTCTCGTGCAGGATTGTTTTGTATATATAAGGTAGAATCGGGACAGTTAAATTAAACTTACACAAGTAACGGTATTATCTCTCTTGCAGCTATTCCCTCCCCTTACAAAAGCAGTTCTTGCATTTACATGACCGACGAGTCTCGCCCGTTAGAGAGATCCAAAATGGCTTTCTCCGGTATATTCCGTAACTGCCGCGTTAACGGGATACCGGTCAAAATTAAGTTTCGCAGTGCGCCGACGTTAATTCGTCGAGACATTACAGGATAAGTTAACAGGCTTTTACACCGGTAACGTAGTTACGCTTCGTTACGGAAAACTCAATCAGGGGACACGAAATATTTAAACCGATAATCGTTCGACGTTCCTCGCCTGTGCCTGCAGCCATAATGTTATCTCGTTGATGTAAGCATATCTGAAAAGCGACGAGATACCTATTATGACTATAACTTCGTCAAACAACGGAGTCGGTAAAAAAAAATCGCTCACAATCTCGTTAGATTTCTATTGTTAATTTAATATACGAACAAATTGCATAAAGGTTTGAATAAAAATTTGTTTAATATTATTTCTGACACACATTTTAGATATCAAAGAAGCAATGGTGAATGATTGGTAACACAATTCTTTGAGTTAATTTTGTTATCTTTAATACCATATACGTATATGTTAAAATCAATCCATTTGAGTGGTTTGTTTCATAGCAGATCCATATTAACGTATGCATTTAGTAAATAATAAACTAAACAGTTTCTCGAGTTAAAATGTTTAACTCCATTGTTTTAGTCAAATTAACGACGATTTTGAGTAAAAACAGGGCGACTAATAGAAATGATTGAAAATAACTGAAATTGGGAATAATGTAACATTATAAATAAACAGTATGTAGCGATCATTAATGTGCTTATTCATTACAGAACTTATCGCGATACTTCTTCATTACGGAATTATAAAAGCCAGTTTCATAGTTAATCTGAAAATAATCCAAACAATCCATCTTTTATTATAAAAATTTACCGAGCCATTTCTGCATTACCAACTTCTACATCGCATCGTAAAGCATAGGAACGCAGCTGCATATTACTGTCCTTCACCTGTTTAAATGAAAGATATGCCGTTTTTGCAATGCTTATATCTCGCATTCATCTTGTCCAGCCCTTTTTTCTCGATGTAAAATTTTTGTATCATCTCTCCGTTTGTAACTTAAATTTATATAGCGGAATTTGGTCGACTGCTAGTTAAAGTGCCGAAGACAACTAAAGTAATTCATTTCGTAACGTTTTACGTTTAAAAGGCAACACCCGCCGGCCGAGTCTCTCTTCAACTCCGTGTTATTATCCTTTACGTCATAAAGCATACGGTCATGCTTGCGGGGAAGTACGAGGCACGTATTCCTGCGAAATGTCAGGTACACGTCAGAACGTAGTCTCTGTCTCGTACGTGTTACTCTTTCTACATTCTTTTAGGGCAGTTAAAGCTTTAATCACGCACGGTAAATAACGTTTCGCTGCGAGAAAGAAATTGCTCTGAAACAAATTTAACATTCTGCATTTTTACGTAAAAACATGTAATCATATTCAATCATCGTTTTATAAAATAATCAGATTATTATTTAAGAATAATAAGAGCAAATCAGAAAAAGTCTATATATGCGATAAAATGTCTAAATATATAGGTATCATAAATAATAGAATAAAGAAAAAAATCAAGTCATTTCTCGCACTGCTTCAAATATACTTGATGCACGTTTCACTGAAAAAAAAAAAAGAGAGTTTGGTAATATCTACCAAATGTTGAGTGAAATAATTTCAATTAAATGTTCGGTTAATATAACCAAAAATAATTTTACTTTCCTAAATATTTAGTAATTATTACTAAATGTGACTGGTTATATTATTATATTTGGTAATACTTACTAAACATTCAGAAAAGTAGAATTATTTTCGGTTGTATAAACCTAACCCTTGAAATTATTTCACTCAATATTTGGTAGCTATTATTAGATTCTTTTTTCAGTGTTAATTCCTATCATTATCGATGTTATAATAAGATTATGTTTTAAAGTGCGACTGCATGCTTCGCCGAAAATCCAATCGAGGATAAAACGTCGAGAAAATGAGAAGAGAAAAAAGACATTTTTTTCCATACTTCGATCGAGTTAAAATATCCCCGCAAATATAATCCGAGTTCTATCTCTATATTTCCATCTGACTCGAAGTACGAGAACACGCGAAAATGGGAAGGTAAGAGAGAGAGAGAGAGAGAGAGAGAGAGAAAAGAATACTAAGCTCGAGGAAAAGGTAGAAGAAAGCCAACCATCTGCTTACGTATTCGATCACGTAAGTACACACGGGAGCAGGAAGGAAAAGAAAAGTCGGCTGTCGAACCACCCCGCGATCGGGAATAAACGGTGGTGTCTCGAAGCAGCGGCGTTCCTCGCGCCCCACGAGAATATTGCGATATTGCTCGCGTTAACCGGTAACGCAGATCCGGCTTCAAAATCCCGGTCCGTAAGGCGGTGTGCCGGCGCGTCCGGAATCTTAAACACCGTGACGCAGCCCTCGAATCGCCAATGCAACAGCAATAGCAACAGCCGTGCCACATCGAATAATATAGATGCTTACAGTTCCGACACGGTGATCTCCAGTTTCATGCTTGTTTCTGCATCCATAAATATTTTGTACTTAAAATTGTCTTAATAAAGGGGTGTCGATGAACTTATATACCTATAAATTTTTGATAACTACTCACGCGCTCTAAAAAAAAAAAAAAAAAAATATGGGTGTAGATTAAACATCACATGTGGTGTCTACATAATTCTCACCGTTTATATCAACACTAACATAATGTGGATTTAATACCAAGGGTTATGTCTACACATCAATATTAACACCAATGTAGTAAAAATTATATAGACACCGTGTGATGTTAAATCCACATTCAAATTTTTCAGACGCACACACACTGTGAGGATTTTCGTTTTCTAAACTTCAGAGATGTAGATGCATCTATATTGCGTCTGTAAGCAAATTAAATCTTATACAGTAAAACCTAATCTAAATTAATTAAAACTCGATGTTAAAAATTAGTAGAAGTAAAATTTCTATTTAATTCATGTTTTTAACGTTCTAACTAAGTTTTAATATAACAAAGTATATAAGGATTTTTGATATCTAAGCTTCAGAAATGTAGATGCATCGTGACTGCAAATTAAATCTTATAATAATATATAATCTGAATTAATTAAAATTTACTACTAAAAATTATGAAAAAAAGAAATTTCCATTTAATTTCATGTTTATAATACTTAAACTTTTAGCGTAGCCTAACGCGTAGCTAACGTGTACGAATTAAATGTAATGTAGGTTATTAATGCCATTAGAAGAGAAACTATATTCTGATTATACAGGGCATGCTCTCCATACAATTGTAACTATCGTAGCCGCATTTACCGTACTTTAGCGATGATACGAGCGATACACAGGCATTGCGCACAAATACGTTTTCTGCCATCATCATTAAACGATCACTGTGACTAACAGATAAATATTATTGGAGGCTAACAAGGTTCTGCAGCATGGTAAAATGCAAAGTGACAGGCGCGATTTCTCCGTTTTCAATTCTGCCACTCTCCCCCGTTTTTCTTGTCTCTTTTTCTCTCCCCTAAACGTGTGTTTTTAACGCTTCCCATTTAACTACCTATGTACACTCGTGCAAAGAAAATATAGGAAAATCAAGCATAATGCACGCAGAACGAAATGGAAAATGGAAAAAAGAAGGCAGCCGGGAGAAGAGAACTTGGCAGAGCGATCAGAGGAACGGGAGTTACATCATTGAGATGCAATTCCAATATTGATATGTCGGATTGGCTGGTGCTCCGACGTAACGTCAGCGACGAAGATCTTAGAGAGTCGCGGCAGTAGAAGAAGCTGGATAAGAAGAGCGAAGGGAACAAGGATGCAACACATCCGTAGCTTATGTGCGAGGCTTGCAGATCGAATACGCGAAAGATCGAGTAAAATTGGAAGAGATATTATTGAACGGCTGTGTAGCGATCAGGGATATAGAGAAGAGAAAAGTCTGAGTTTCATTGCCGCAGTTGCAATGGAAACATATCGAATCGACAGTAAGCTGCACGGTGCATAAAGAATTTAAGCTTGACGTCCAGTTCATATCTTAAACTGTAAGGTCGATATTTAACTTTATATGAATATCAAAAGGTATTATAAGGTATAAAAATAAGTATTAGGTTGAGTAAAAAGTCATCGCGTATTTTTTAGCTCAAAGTTGTATATACAATATCTTCGTCAATAATGAATGAAATTCAAATTTAAAAAAAGGGTTTTAAAGCTTGAAATCTCTACTTTTAAAAGCTTATCACATTTTTTAAGTTTATATGAGTTTGATAATTTTTACATACCAAAAACTACGAGCTGAAAAAGACGAAAAATTTTCTTCTCACTTTGTGGATTTGTAACGTGTCCAAAACGAATTTGAGAAAATTTTCGATTACCTATCGTGAAAGCTTGATACTTTCCCTACAAAATCGTTTTTTTTTAATATTCCTACGACTTTTGATTACTGAGTTATCGCGGATTAAATAAAAGAATTATTTTGACTTTAATTGCTCATAACTCCATTAAAAATTGTCGTATCGTATAATTTAAAAAAGAGATTTTTAAAGGTGAAACTTTACTCTATCAAGATATATTTATATTGTTGGTAAGAAAGTAATTGCGGTTTTTACTGATAGATGTCTTTTAAAAAAACGCGATGACTTTTTACTTAACCTAATATATCGAACGAATTCTAGAGAAGCAAAAATCGGATCTCCATTTGTTTCAGCGTTAGTAATCGACATTCGTCGAGTCGCGTCACGGCGTCACAGTCGGAACTGTTCATATTCGGTTGCGTCTCGCGACAAATTTCGGCTCGATTTCGCGAGACGTGCTTTCAATTTCGCGCGCGAACATGCGTTTGCCACGATGCTCTCTCTGCCCGCATGACGTTACGTTTTGTCGTGATGCAACGCGATCCGACATTCCGGGCGGCTTACCGATCCGCAAACGGATTCACGCGTGTTCGCACGGTACGCCGCTCGTGCACATTTGCGTGCAAACGAGACTGCATTCAGATTGTGGCCTAGGCTATCGTCCGTATTTTAACCTGACGCTTCAATATCGCGTACTCGACGCTACGTGAATAACTGCTCGCTTTTTGATTGTTGCGCGTTTCGACCTAACGGGCTGAATAGAAAGAAACGTACAGGTGGATTCTACTATCATGGATAGTCTCTACGTGTTGGATTTATATTTATTCAAAATTTTAAGTAAAACCACTCTAACTATATTATTTTTTTCTTTTAACAAATAAAATAGAATCAGATTTTTCGAAAATTCACAAAATTTCCTGGTATGTAGGAGCGAACGCGGTAGTTAGTGCGTTAATTTAACATTATTAGATATAAATTTATATTGTCTCTTCTGTTAAACATTCTTTTTTTTTCGTACGCGTTTCAACTCGTTTTAAGTCATTCTTAACGAAATATATAAATTGAAATTAAATTATTCTGATAATCTTTTTCTTTTAGTTTGGTGATTCACGGTGACATTATTACCGCGAGTACAGAATTTCTTTCGAGACTTCCGAGTATATATTTAGAATTATATTTTTGTAATATCCTTATCGTAATTATAAAAATATCTGTAGTTTTTTGTTGTAATTTTAAAATATTGTACAAAATTTTTGTTTGCGTAACAAGTGGAAAGAAAAATTGATGAATTAATGATCTTTTCATTTTTACGGAGATAATTTGGCATCGAGTCTCGGGATTATAGTACACTTGGTATGTCGCCGAGGATCGGATCAGACGTTTTGCTACGTGAGCACGAAACTCGCATGCACGATCCCAGGGGCATGTCAGCCCAATCGGACAAGAATGTCAGGTGGTCGCGTCACGGACCACCAGCTGTCCATCAATTCTGTCCATGGGGTACACGGGGGTCCCCGTCTCTCGTTCTGATTACGTCCGCATGCCGGTTGGATTTCACGTGGAAATTGCGACTTTGTTCCCTTCGGCGTTCTCTCTCTCTCTCTCTCTCTCTCTCTCTCTCCCCCTCCCTCCCTCCCTCTTTCTCCTCTCTATCTCTATCTTTACCTATTTCTACGTCTGTCTCTCTCATCCACTGGATCGACGACCTGATGTCTTACCACTGCAACGCGCAGAATAATGAAGTTTCTGCGTTACGAAAGATAGCCGCAAGATATCTTGTGGCTCTGGCTGGAAGTTCAATTCGATACATCGCGACATATCAGTTTTGCAAGCGTGCAATCGACGTATACATAACAATTCTTATGTTTGTATT